CCACCTCCTTCCATCTCACACTTCCACGCCCACCTCTCACACCCACCTCCTTCCATCTCACACTTCCACACCCACCTCCTTCCATCTCATACTCACTTCCACAGCCACCCCTCACTCACACCTCCTGTACTCCACATCCCCTCGGAAGCACCCTCACTTGTCCCCCCAGCCTTCCTGGCTTTCTTTCCTCCTTCTCATTTGTCTCGCACGTGCCTTTTGAGGGCGCCTTTCTCTACAGCCAAAAGCATCGATGGTCCTTCAGAGCGGACTCGCAGTGTCGCGGTGCCGTTCTGTGAACTAGAGATGCCGCCTGTGCTTTCGAGAGGGCTGGCGTCTGCCCATTGCCGTCCATGTGGGCAGCTCCAGGCTGAGCTGGGTCCTGCCCTTTCTTCCGGTGCCTGGCTGCCTGCAGCGTCCCCTCACTCCCGCCCTCTGCCCTCTCTGCAGGACTTTGGGAAGTGCCCGCGACTGAGGCTGTTTACTCAGGAGTACATCCTTGCCTTGAACGAGCTCAATGCGGGGATGGAAGTGGTGAAGAAGTTCATCCAGAGGTGGGTCTCCAGCGCGACGCCCTCCCCTCCCTGGCCTCAGAGCCACTTTCCTCTCCGATCCTGTTTCCTCGGATAGCCATGGGGGGCGGTTGTGTGATTAAACAAAGACCACATCTGTGATGAAGCCCCTAGCCCACTGCGCAGTGCCCGGGAGGAACTCGGAAAACGGCAGTGGACCTGCACAACGCGGGCATTTCCTCAGGTCCCAAGCCCCTCGGGCTGTGGGCGCCCAGTGTTTAGGACTCACTCCCACCCCGGTGGTCCCAGAGCGTCATCGTCGGGTACTTGAACAGCCACTCCATAACATCACCCAGAGGAAGCCAAATATTCTTGCTCTTCCTCACTTTTGGTCCTTGGGGTTGGTGTTTCGGTTTTTTGTTTTTGTTTTTGTTTTTGCTATGGGGGGCGGGGGGGACGGGGTTGCTTTTGCTTTTTTTATTTAAAAATTTTCTCTCTGTGCTCCAGTTTCCTCATCTGTAACGCAAGAGCCGTAGTACTCCTCATCCGGTTAGTGATGCTCCAGTGAGCTCGTAGCCGCAACACATAGAGAACGCTGCAGAAGCCTCGTGTCAGGCCAAGCTGTCAGCATTCTTGTTCTCGGCACGTATGTTTGTTTGTTTCTGTGTTTGTTTTGAGCGGAGTCTCGCTCTGTCACCCAGGCTGGACTGCAGTGACACGATCTCGGCTCACTGCAACCTCCGTCTCCTGGGTTCAAGCAATTCTCCTGCCTCAGCCTCCCAAATAGCTGGGACTACAGGTGTGCATCACCACACCGGCTAATTTTTATATTTTTAGTAGAGACGGGGTTTCACTATGTTGGCCAGGCTGATCTCGAACTCGTGACTTCAGGTGACCTGCCTGCCTTGGCTTCCAAAGTGCTGGGATTACAGGGGTGAGCCACTGCCCCCAGCCTCTTCTGATCTTTTAAGACAATCAAAATAACCTGTTTAAACAAGTTCTGAAGCTATGTGTTTCCTAAACATGCTCACTTGGAACTCACAAAGCCATTTGAGGGTGGCTTTGTGACATGCCCTCATGCAGGAGCCCTGGTAATGCCACCCAGATATGGTTTGCAAAATCTTGTCAGGGTAGGTCTTTCTTAGTGACAGCAGCCTCGATGACAGCTTCTCAGAAGTGGAACAGGTGTTATCCTCAGGTCCCTAAGCAACCCATTTTACAGACGAGAAAATGAAGGACAGAAATAGTCATGACAACTAGTAATTACCGGCACTTACTGCGGACTTAGTGACTGTTAGCAGACTCTGCTAAGCCAGAATGACCCTAATCATTTTCTTTCCAAAGCAGGACATGTAAAATGAGGTATTAGGAATAATTATTCCTGAACCGCTCCCCACCCCCTAGGTGTAAGCATGACTGTCCCAGGACATATGGCTACCGTATGCTAGGGGTCTCTGTGAATTAGAAAATTTGGTCCTAACTGTCCCCTACTGAGGATGGGGCTGTTATCCTCATTTTATAGTTGCGGAAACGGTGGAGAGTTTAGGAGGTTTCCAGGGCCACTCAGAGGTTTGAACCTGGGAACCCTGGATCCAGAGTCAGCAGCTGAGACCTTTGCCTTCCACTGCCTGCACATGGCACAGCCAGAACCCAAATCCTGGTGCCACCAGTTACACAGCAAAGGCTCTCAGAGCCCCAAGGGGTGCTGGCAGAGCGGCAGCCCTTTGCCCGAGCAGCGCCCCTCCCTTGTCCGCCTTCCCCTGTCCGTGGGCCCCACTCCTGCAGGCTTCTCACCCGGCCCTCTGCTTTCTTCCAGCATGCACGGCCCCACAGGGCACTGCCCCCATCCCCGGGTCCTGCCCAACCTGGTGGCCGTGTGCCTGGCTGCCATCTACTCCTGCTATGAAGAGTTCATCAACAGGTCAGTTGCTGAACTGCCGCTCGGAGGGTTTGGGAGGGGAATGCTGCCGGTCCCCATCATGGGCAAAATCACCGAGAACTGACCAGGCTGGGGAGGCAGAGTGGCTGCTTCCTGGGCAGGCCTCATGGTGTGTGTGCCAGTTCCCCTGAGCCCACTGATTCATGGGCCCAGAACCCAGGGATGCTGCTGGAAAAGCAAGCACTGACTCAGCCCCGCGGCTGTGCGGCTGTTAGAGCCGCTTGACATGGGGGACAGATGTTTTATGCTGAAGATCTCTCACCCCTGGAGAGGTAGGACACATTGGTGTGTGTGTGGATGTATGCACATGGGTACACAAATGCATATGTGAACTGTACACATACATGTGACTGTGTGTATGTGTGTGCACGTGGGGGATACGCATCAAAGACGTATGTAATACAAGAGTGTTGGTAGCAGCCATGTCTGTAATAGCCCAAAACTACCAACCTCCTCAACTCAAATGCCCTGCAGCAGTAGAATAGATACATAAATGTGCTCTGTTCACACAAGAAATACTATGTAGCAGCAGGAGTGATGCATCCAGTGCAGCCAGCAAACTACCAGGATCCAATTTCACAACGTGGTATTGAGCAACAGAAGCCAGCCCAAAAGATGCCTACTGTGCGGTCCCTTTTACACAAAGCCCAAGACTAGGCACAACGAATCAATGGTGTTAGAGGCCAGAAGAGCGGCCACCTTTGGGATGCGGGAGTTTTGGGGAAGGACGTAGAGAAGCTTCTGGACTCCTGGAAGTGTTTCCCTGCTTTATCTAGGTCGGTGGTGCTCAAACAGGGCAGCTTTTCCTCCTAGAGGATATTTGGCAATGTCTGGAGACATTTTTGTCACCACAGTTTGGGTGGGAGAAGGGGTGCTCCCGGCATGTAGCGGGTAGAAGGCTGGGATGCAGCTGAACATCTGCGCACACACACGACAGCCCCTGCTAGAAAGCATTACCTGGCTCAGAACCACAGAGCCAAATTACGGACCTCCAGTCTGGGTGGTTATTACACAGGGGTGTGTGTGCAGATACTCACCACGCTTTACACCTAAGAGTTCCAGACTTTCTAGTATTTAAGTTATACCCAGAGTGTGCAGGAGAGCCAGCTCACCCATTTGGGGACATGTCCCTTCCCATTTCTGCAGTGATATATTGGTAGGTTGAAGTCAGCTGTGGTAGGAGTGTTTACACCAAAAACAATGGTAGACACTGCAGATCAGGGCTTCTTCTTTTTTTTTTCTTTTTTCTTTTTTTTTTAGACGCATTTTCGCTCTTGTTACCCAGGCTGGAGTGCAGTGGCACAATCTTGGCTCACTGCAACCTCCACCTCCTGGGTTCAAGTGATTCTCTTGCCTCAGCTTCCTGAGTAGCTGGGATTATAGGTGTGGACTACCACACCTGGCTAATTTTTTGTATTTTTGTAGAGACGGGGTTTCACTTTGTTGGCCAGGCTGGTCTCAAACTGCTGACCTCAGGTGATCCGCCTGCCTTGGCTTTCCAAAGTGTTGGGCGACTGTGCCGGCCAGATCAGGGCTTCTTTCTTTGGAGAGTTGATTGCTAGACATTTACCATTGTACCTCGGGTTAGATCTCAATTTAAAGAAAAGGAAAAACAAAAGGGTGCCCGGGACCCTCCCAGTGCCATTCTGATTTAATTAGGATGGCCCTGGCATCCTTTTTTTTGTTCGAGACTGCATCGGGTGCAGGTTAAGGAAGGAGCCTTGGGGAGGTGGATATTTAAGTTGAGATCTCCCGCTGTTCTCCAGGCAAGAAGCTGGAAGAGGGGAGAGAACAGCAGGGGCAAAGGCCTGACAGTGATGAGTGAAGGTGCCATTCATCACAATGTTTTTGTTTTTTGATTTTTTTTGGAAACAGAGTCTCACTCTGTCACCCAAGCTGGAGTGCAGTAGCACAGTCTCTGTCCACTGCACCCTCTGCCTCCTGCGTTCAAGCAGTTCTCATGCTGCAGCCACCCGAGTAGCTGGAATTACAGGTGTGCACCACCACACCTGGTTGAGTTGCTTTTTTTTTTTTTTTTTTGGTATTTTTAATAGAGACCAGATATTGCCGTGTCGGCCAGGCTGGTCTCAAACAACTGGCCTCAAGTGAAACGCCCACCTCAGCCTCCCAAAGTGCTGGGATTACAGGCGTGAGCCACCATACCCGTCTACAACGGGCTGCAATGTTTTTGTGTCTGTAGGTCTTTGAATCACTACTTCAGAATCCCCAGGACTGCTTTAAAGTACAGATTTCTGGCTGCAGTGTTTCCGGTCTGTGGCCCAGGAGCCTGCATTCGAAACAAACTCCACAAGTGATTCTGTCACACGCCTAATGTGGAGATCCCAGCAGGGGAGGAGTGGAGGAAATCCTGTGTGACTGGGGCCGAGAGAAGGAAAGGGAAGGCAGCACTCTCAAACCTCCCGGTGCCTGGGACTCTCCAGGGTGCATCTTTAAAATGCGGATTCGGATACTGCTCATCTGGGGTGGGGCCTGAGACTCCGCTTGTCTAACAAGCCTCCAGGCGATGCTGTGGGTTGAGGATGACACTGTGAGTCCTGGGTTTCAGTGGCAGAACTTTTATTCTGGGAGCATTGGAAAGTCCACAGTGGGCTTTAAGTGGAGAAGTGACGTGATGGGGTTTCAGTTCGATCTCCCTCTGGCTGCTGCTGCACGGGGATGGACTAGGTAGGTAGGCGTGACCATGACGAACTGTTAGGCAGCTGTGGTAAGGAGATGCCAGGCTGGAGGCTGGCGAGGGTGAAGCGGTGCCTGCTGCCTCCCACCCACTTGGCTGTGCTGGGCCTCCTCAGAGCCCACAGTAGCTTGGGTTCTAGCTGATGCAGTAAGTTTCCTGTGTGTCACCTAGAGAAGCATGATGCTGCCAAGACGTGTCCTGGGCTCAGGTCTTGGGCTCAGGTCCATGACGCCCCCCTCAGTCAGTCCCTTCAAGATAAAGCCCGTCATGTCCTCTAGGCCATCCGTGGTGCTCTTGGTGGGCAAATGTACACAGCGTACTCAAACTGAAAAGAACAGACAGCTTGACCCAGGTTAGCGTGGCTCTCTAGAAAATCACCAATCTGAGCCAAACAGCCTTGAAAATCCACTTTTAAAACCCAGCAAAGGCAAACAAAGAGAAGTGGAGTGCTGAGCACGTGGGGAGCACATCAGATCTGAGCCAAAGAGTTTAGGTCTCCCTCCATCACAGACCACACACAATTTTCTTGGGATTTAGCTGGTGGATTATTTCCCCCAGCAAAGCTGAAAGTGTATTTATTAAACACCCTTGGTGGGCTCAGCTCAGGCCTGTCATGTGCTGATACATTCAGACCCTTCCTGTGCATGGCGTTCACGTTCTGCACACAGCCCTTGGAGCTGCTGCCCACATGCCCCTCCCACCACTTCCCCCAGCCGCAACAATTCCCCCAGCAGAATGCCAGCAGCGTGACCCTGTCCTCAAGCCTAGGAGCTCCTTTGGAGGCACAGGACACATGCCTGTGGCGCGTCTGGTGAAGCACTAGACCAGCAGCTGTTTTTAATCATGCCGTTGTGCTTGAAGTCTTGGATTAGTGGATCTCAACTTGACCACAAACATGAGGAGCCTCAAAAATTACTCATGTCCAGGCCAGGCTCGGTGGCTCCCGCCTATAATCCCAGCACTTTGGGAGGCTGAGCTGGATGGATTACCTGAGGTCGGGAGTTGGAGACCGGCCTGATCAACACGGAGACACCCCATCTCTACTAAAAATACAAAAATTAGCCAGGCGTGGTGATGCGTGTCTTTAATCCCAGCTACTGGGGAGGCTGAGGTAGGCAGATCACTTGAACCCAGGAGGCGGAGGTTGCGGTGAGCCTAGATCACACCATTGTTCTTCAGCCTGAGAAACAAGAGCGAAACTCTGTCTCAAAGGAAAAAAGATTACTCATGTCCAGGTTCCACCCTGGAGATTCCCATCTAATTGGGCTTTGGGATGTTTAGAAGTGTCTCTAGGGGATCCTTGTGTCCAGCCAAGGGTGGAAAGCTTTGGTTTAGGAGGAGTTCGAGGGTAGGAAGGGCAAGAGTAGCAGGAAGAAATCAAGGAAGACTTCATGGAGGAGGGGACCTGCACAGATCTTAAGGGACCTTGGAAGCCAACCTAGTTGGGAGGATCCTGGGCTTTGCAGTCCAGGAGATCTGGCCTCAAATCCTATCTCCATCAACTCGTGAGCTGTTTAATTATGGGTCGATCATTTAACTTCTGATGCGGTCTTCCCTTACCTGTGGCACAGAGATGGTAGGAATCACTGTTCAGCGATGTCTGTGAGCATCCATGTGACTGCATTTGGACTGTGCCGGCCCATGGGCACCAGCAGTAAACCCACTGATGGTATTACTGTCCCTGACAGTGCACCTCCCAGGCAACTGGGCACCTTGGGAAGCTCTCAGTCAGAGGAGGGACTTTAACTGGGTCAAGGCTCTGATAAGTCCTGCTGCAAAGAGGCCTAATTCCATCTTGTTTGCCCCAGCATTTCCCAAACAGGTGTGACATTAATAATGTCAAGAGCCCTCTCGGAGGGAACACCTGTTAACACCTTGTGCAGGAATGTGTTCCTCCAGGCGGTTATTGATTTTGTGCCTGAAGCGTCACCCAGCAGGAGTGGGGTTCTGCAGACAGGAGGGCCCAGACTCTAGGGCCCAGACTGGACTTCTGGAGTTTGGGGTCTCATTGAAGTGGGTTCCCAGGAGGGGGCAGATCCTGAGCTTTCTCACCTGGCTGGGTTTGAGGACAGGAGAGCAGAGTCCTGGAGGACATTGTGATATGCGGTCAGGGCTTGGAGGGCAGTTAGACTGCAGGAAGCAACTAAAAGCAAAATGGTAGATCTCACTGGCACATCAAGAAAGTGGCCAGTGGCATTTTGGAGGAGAACGCCAAGAGCCTTATGGCTGTTCGTAGAGATCAGCATCCACTCAGTCAGTCAGCAGATATTTATTGAGCACCTGTTATGTGTTGGGGTGACAGCATGGGCTATAGAGACAGGCAACCCGGGTTGGGCTGTCATCCCTACCTCTTCCTTTCTAGACCCTGGACAAGCCATGCACCCAGGCTGAGCCTCGGTTTCCTCATTTTTAGCACAGGGACAATGACAGTACCATATTGTGACCTCATCCTGGGATTCACGGAGGCCTTTAGCCAGCGGGTGGTGGGTCGTGGTGCATCATGAACAGTGCTTGTACTCACGTTCCCTCTCCCGCCTCTTTCCACAGCCGCGACAATTCCCCAAGCCTGAAGGAAATCCGGAATGGCTGCCAGCAGCCGTGCGACCGGAAGCCCACCTTACCTCTGCGCCTTCTGCACCCCAGCCCGGACCTGGTGTCTCAGGAAGCCACGCTGTCTGAGGCCCGGCTCAAGTCGGTGGTCGTGGCCTCCAGTGAGATCCACGTGGAGGTGGAACGCACCAGCACTGCCAAGCCGGCGCTGACGGCCAGCGCGGGCAATGACAGCGAGCCCAACCTCATCGACTGCCTCATGGTCAGCCCCGCCTGCAGCACCATGAGCATCGAGCTGGGCCCCCAGGCCGACCGCACACTCGGCTGCTACGTGGAAATCCTCAAGCTGCTGTGAGTGCCCCTTGTGTGCCCGCCGCTGGGGCCAGTGGGAGGAAACTGGGCTTAGCTGTTGGGTTTAAGCTGTTCGTTGGTTCGAGCTACACAGAGGTGCGCATGGTAGAGTGGTGTGTGTGTGAGTGCGCACGAGATGGTGTGTGCAAGAATCTAAGCACAAGTGTGGCAGTGTGCGATGGCACACATGGGTGTGTGCATGAGTGGCTGTGGTTGTGTATCTGAACATAGGGTGTGTGTATACACATGTGGGGTGCGTGCTTGGCTTTGTGCCTGTGTGCTGGAGTGCCTGGACATATGTGTAGGGTGCATGCCCAAGCATGCATGTGTACATATGTGTGCATGAATTTGTGTGTGTATGAGGACCTGGGCACATCTTCCAGGGTGTGCAGGAGGAGCACAAGGGTGCCCACGCGTGTCTGTGAGTGCATGGACACCTCTGGGGTGTTGGGTCTGTGGGATCCTCTGAGCTTGTGAGTGTCTTTGTGTGGCTAAATGGCCATGGGTGTATGTGGATGTGACAGCACACATGGTTGGCCGAGTGTGTGTGTGTGTGTGTGTGTGTGTGTGTGTGTGTGTTTGTTTCTGAGACAGAGTCTTGCTCTGTCACCAGGCTGGAGCAGTGTGGCACAATCTTGGCTCACTGCACCCTCCACCTTCTGAGTTCAAGCAATTCTCCTGCCTCAGCGTCCCGAGTAGCTGGGACTACTGGCACCCATGACCACTCCCGGCTAATTTTTGTATTTTTAGTAGAGACGGGGCTTCACCATGTTGGCCAGGATGGTCTCGATCTGTTAACCTCATGATCTGCCTGCCTTGGCCTCCCAAAGTGCTAGGATTACAGGCATGAGCCACCCTGCCCGGCCGCGTGTATATTTATAGGAGATGGATGTGGGCGTGCATGTGGATTTCTCTGAAGGGGTGTGTGCGCGTGTGTGTAATGTACAAGAGTGGGTGTGTGTAGGCACTTGTGCTACTTTTGTGCACAGGTGGCTATGGGTGCGGGCATATGGGTTTAACCATTTGTGCTCTAGGGTTGGAGAGCGTGTGTGTTTCTCTGTGTATGTTTGCAGGTGTGTGCATGAGCTCATGTTTGTTTGTGTTGTGTGAGCATGCATGCTGTGTGCTTTGGGGTGAGTCTCTGTGCGTGTGCATGTGTCTTAGTGTGTTGTGGGTGATGTGCAGGAGTGTGTGACTCTGTCTTGGGGTATGTGGCTGTGCGTGTTGGTGCCATGTGCCTGGTGTCCATGGGTGCGCATTGGTGCCGTGTGCCTGGGTGTCCATGGGTGCGCATTGGTGTTGTGTACCTGGGTGTCCGAGGGTGCGCATTGGTGCCGTGTACCTGGGCGTCCGTGGGTGCGCATTGGTGTTGTGTACCTGGGTGTCCATGGGTGCACATTGGTGTTGTGTGTGCCTGGGTGTCTGTGGGTGTGCATTGGTGTTGTGTGCCTGAGTGTCCGTGGGTGCACATTGGTGTTGTGTGTGCCTGGGTGTCTGTGGGTGTGCATTGGTGTTGTGTGCCTGAGTGTCCGTGGGTGCGCATTGGTGTTGTGTGTGCCTGGGTGTCCGTGGGTGCGCATTGGTGTTGTGTGCCTGGGTGTCCGTGGGTGCGCATTGGTGTTGTGTGCCTGGGTGTCCGTGGGTGTGCATTGGTGTTGTGTGCCTGGGTGCCCGTGGGTGCGCATTGGTGTTGTGTGTGCCTGGGTGTGGGTATAGGAGACCTGTGGACTTGGGCCTGCTCTGGGTGATGTGGCTTCTGAACTGGCTCCTTCTGTACCTGTCCCTGCCCCTCCCTGAACCTCATGTGTGTGACTCTAGGGTGGAGGGAGGTGCAGTTCTTAATCCTTGACCCTTAAGGATCTCTCCAGCCTTGCCATCCACACGCTCCACCTGACATGTCTCAAACCTGTGAGCACCTGGTTCTGGGAGCCCCACTTTGAGGGACCTTGTTGACTCTTCCCTTCTACACCCCCACAGAACCCTGTGGGCCCACAGACAAGCCCAGTCTGCAGACACTCAGCGGACGCCTCCCCCTTTCTTGCTCCACAAACTCCTTTTGGAACAAGCTGTGCCCCGCTTTCAGGAGCTCTGAATCCAGAGATGGGCATTTTCAGATGCAGCTGCTTGTGGTTGCTGGACTTTTCAAAGGGACTGGGGGTGCGACTGTGTTGTCACATTTAACCAGTGCGTGGTTCCTGTCTAGAGCCAGGGCTCCCCAGCCCTCAGCCTTTGGGGAAGCCGCTTGGAAGCCCGGCGCCTGGGGTGTTGTCTGTGTGGGTGGGCAGGGTTTCCCTGAGCCCCTGTGTCGTCATGCGGCTGGGCAGCGTTTGTTCATTCTGTCATGTGTGTGTCGATCCTGGAGCCTGCTCAGGGTTTGCAGGGACGGAGGGCAGCTTCTGGGGGCCTGGTAAGCTGGAGAAAAGGCTGGGAGGCACCTTGGAGTGTACCCTGTGCTCTACAAGCAAGGCCTGTGGTGCCTGTGAAGGTGAACATATATGCACACACGGTCACAAGGTGGCTTCTCCTGGTTTCTAGGAGATCCCGGAGGCAGTGTTCCCACATTGCCTCCTCTGCCCCCGGCTTTGGCCCCAGAGAGGAAAGGGCAGGGTGTGCCCAGGGGTTCAGGGCCAGCCCCAGCCTGTGGTCCCAGCAGCAGAGGTCAGATGAGGGCATAACCATGTTCAGTGACCTCCACCCCTAGCCAAGCAGAATTCCACATCCCACTAAGAAAGCGTCTCCAAGAACTCGCTGCAGCCCTGAGTGTCTTCAGGGCAAAGAAGAGTGTCAGCTCTCCTGGTGGCAGCGAGGGTGGGGTACCTCCCTGGATTTTTGGAGGGGGCTCCTTGCTCTGATGGAGGTGGAAGCCACCAGGCCAGCGACTGGCCAGGCCAGAGACTCCAGCTCCCCAATTCCAGCTGTGTTTTGCAAACACCATGAACTCCTGGGCCTTCTGCTATTTTGGGCCTGACTCCTGTTTCTCATGAAGCGCTAAGGGTTTGAGTTTCATCACATAGTTGACATACATTTTTTTCCTTCTTCATAAACATGCTCATGAATGAGGGCTCTGTTCTCTCCCATCTGCGTTCAGACCCCCCCACCTGCCCGCATCACCCAGCTGCCAGGGCGCAGGTGGGAGTCAGGGCTGTCGTCAAGGGCCCAGGACAGTCAGGGCAAGCCAGGAGGGGTTCCCGATGGGGCTACACAGAGGAGCGGCTCCCGCCCAGCCCCAAGGCTTCCAGAGAATGGGATTTATGCTTCTAGAAGCCTCTTCCACCTTGGGGGAGCGCAACACAATTTGGGCCTGATAGCTCTATTTCCCCAGCAGCATTCCTCCCCGTACCCAGCAGGCTGCTTTAGTTGCTGGCTCACTGGAGGCCTCAAACTGGCTGGATTCAAACAACTCCAGCCGCTGAAAGGGCTCCAAAGTGAGATCCGTGGGGACAGGCACGGACTCAGAGTGAGACCATGCTGGGTTCAAGTCCCACCGTGCCACATACTAGTTGTGACGTTGGATGGTTGGTCGTCCTCTCTGAGCCTCCGGTCCCAGGCTGGGAGGTGGTGTGAGTATGACTGCGTCTGGCATTGGCGAAGAGGTGGGAGGGGCCGGCCCTGAGTGCGAGGTGAACACCCGGCCAACGGCAGCAGCTGCCATTTATGGTACAGCCGTGTTCCCACTACTTTACCAACCTGTTGAGAGCGAGACGCATCACTGATTTAATAACGGTGCTTTGAGAAAGAGGCCGAACGGCATTCAGTGCACACTTGGGTTGCAGGAAACTCGCGTCTAAGTATTAAGTAAATGCGGCGTGTGCCTTAGCTGCCATGGAACTGTGGCCAGTGCATTTGGCTCCTCTGGGCCTCAGTTTTCTTGTCTGTAAAATATGTGTCTTCTCAGAGGACTACATGACAATTCCGGGATGTTGCGGGTTTCTGGCGCTGGCCCAGCCTCTGGTTCTTGATCAGAGTAAACTGCTGTTATCAGCCAGGCGCAGTGGCTCACGCCTGTAATCCCAGCACTTTGGGAGGCTGAGGCGGGCAGATTACTTGAGGCCAGGAGTTCCAGACCAGCCTGGCCAACATGATGAAATCGTGTTGCTACTAAAAATAACGAAAATTAGCTGGATGTAGTGGTGGGCGCCTGTAGTCCCAGCTACTGAGGAGGCTGAGGCACGAGATTTGGTTTAACCCAGTGGGGTGGAAGTTGCAGTGAGCCAAGATCATGCCACTGTGCTCCAGCCTGGGTGACAGAGTGACACTCCGTCTCAAAAATAAAAGAGTGAACTGCTGTTATCAATATTGAAGTGCCGCCCAAATGAGAATTACACATAAAGAAAAAAACGGCCGAGCATGCTGGCTCACGCCTGTAATCCCAGCACTTTGCAAGGTCAAAGCAGGTGGATCACCTGACGTCGGAGTTTGAGACCAGCCTGGCCAACACAGTGAAACCCCATCTCTACTAAAAATAGAAAATTAGCCAGGCGTGGTGATGCATGCCTGTAATCCCAGCTACTCAGGAGGCTGAGGCAGGTGAATCACTTGAACCCGGCAGGCGGAAGTTGCGGTGAGCTGAGATCATGCCATTGCACTCCAGCCTGGGCAACATGAGTGAAACTCCATCTCAAAAAAGAAAGAGAGAAGCAGATGGCTTGGTGTGGAATTGAGGGGTCTTAAAGAGGGCGTTGTGTAGGGGCTGAGGAAGGCGTGCTTAGAGCCTTGGCCCAGTGGGGCCAACCACATGTGTCAGAGAGGGCCGTGCTGGTCCCAGGGTACACGGGTCATGCTTCCCGCCCCACTGCCTGGGGCCAAGGGTAATAGTGCACAGGCCCTGATCAGTTGCCATGTGTTCCCATAGGAAGGCCCCTGCATCATTAGAATTTGATGCTTGAAAAGGAAAACGATTCTACATGTAGGTGCAGGCTGGTGCTGAGAAAAATCACCGTGTGGGGCCCAGGAGGGGTGGGATGATGAAAAGAACGTGGACTCTGGAGACAAAGAATAGC